GATGGTAGATCAACATGTGTATCCTAGCCGCTGGATGGTAGATCAACATGTGTATCCTAGCCGCTGGATGGTAGATCAACATGTGTATCCTAGCCACTGGATGGTAGATCAACATGTGTATCCTTTTCGTTTTCTTTTTTTCAAATATAAGCTCCGATCTATTCGTGGGGAGCAGCACGTGCTGGGAACCGGGCCCAGCGAGATCAACATGTGTATCATTCCTAGTTAGGTAGGCAGTGGGAGGTATATTGAGAGAAGAATTTACCCGAGTTTTCCTTAAAAAAAAAGAAGGGGCGGATGGGTTTGTTCAGGTGAAAAACCTCGCAGCCACCCCTGTCGTCTATTTTGCATGTCCATTGCTTCCCTGGATATCCTGCATGTGCAGCACGAGCAAAAGGAAGCCATGAGAAGGGGTGGTGATTGATTCTGTGATAGATTCATATCTCCTGTGAGTTCATCTTTTGTGCTTGGGATTATCTCGGCAACTCAGCTGTGAAATGCACAGTTGAGGTGCCGCTGCATGTATGGGCATGTATCCTTTTTTTCCCTTCTTTTAGACATCTGTGGGGAGTGCCACAGGAGTTGGTATGAGCATCCCCCTGTGGTACTCTCCCAGCAGATGGCTCCTGTCTATTGGCGGGGAGCTGCACCTGCTGGAAACCAGGCCCAGCGTCCCTTATTCAGCGTATACAGAATACCACATTGTAAATGATGTGTCGGGCATATATCCTAATTCCCGATGTATGTGATGGTGCATTGTGATACTCCGTGAGTGATGTCTGAAGGCTCTTTGCATGCTAATAAGTAATTCATATGTGGCTTCCACAGGGTGAAGATGTTTCCTTGCATTTCATGTCATTCAGAAGATGAAAAGATAAAATAAAACAATATGCATGCTGACTTATGGAAGGTGAATGTGAAAAAGTTACTAGTGGCCCACATCTGAGACTTGGAGTTGTGGCCACATGCTGGCACAGGCTGCAGCAGCAGGCCAGGTTGTTGAATTGGAGGCGTCATTGCAGAAGGAAAAGGCAGGTCTTGCTGCAGCACAAGCTGAACTGAGAAGGCTTATTCAGGTGGAAAGTGAATGTGCACGCCTTTCAAAACGCATAAAGTCCTTGGAAGGTACTCCTCTACTCCACTCCAACCCTTTTCTTTTTTCTTTTTTTTTTGACACAAACAGCTCCATCTATTGGTGGGGAGCATCACCAGCTGGAAAACGGGTCCCGCGTCCCTTGAATATGAATGCATGAGTACATGATGAGATGAACTACCGTTGATGTCTGTGGGGTCTGTACAGATGTGTGAGCTGCCTAGAATTGCCTCTCACCCTCTGTCCTTTTACTCTGTCCCTCGCTATTTCTTTTTTTTTTCTTTTTTTTCTTTTTTTTTTAATGTTTTTTTTTCTTTTTTTCTTTTTTTTACGAACAATCTTTCATGATCAGCTTTTATTTTTTTCGCT